CATTCTTTCAGCATCTTCTCTTTCCTCATCCAGAATAGGGCTGCCATTCAACCGAACAATCTTAGGCAGTCTAGCCACCAATAGAGGGCGCCTCTCATTTTCCAGAATGGTTTTTGCTAACGGCAACCCTTTCATCCGTACATCACACAAATGTGGAAATTCTTTTAATTTATCTATGCTTTCCCAACTGTCAATTGCGTTATCCCTTATGCTTAGTGATTTCAACTGCGGGAAGCATTCCGCAACCTCACCTGACAGGTCGGAAAATTTGTTCTCTGCCAAGTAAAGATTTTCCATCATGGGGAACATTTTCCCAAGTTTGCAAACTTCAGCGAAGTCTGTAACACCATTGCTGTTGAACTGGCACATTTTGATGCTGGTATATGGGTTATCAGGAGAAGAGACTGTCACAAAGTCATTCAGACTAAGCAACACCTCCTCTAGGCTGCAAAGAAGTAATACAGGTTGATGTAAATGGGGCATCATCAATAAAACTCACATGAAGCGTCATTTGTCATTTGATTTGAGAGGTAGGGATACATATGTAAAAGCAAATTTTGTATTGCGTGCATCAAAATCACAATAAAAAAATATGTGTAACATTGCCTAGAAACGAACATGGGTGAAGGTAAAACATTTTACAAGTGATACAAAAAACAGGCAACGCAAAGTGAAAATTTACATGATTTGAAGGTACTCAAATGCAAACTGAACTATTCTCGGGGGCAGACATCCTGGCTTTTTCACTGCATGGCAACCATTACGATGAAAACAAAGATCGAAAACTCTCAGAAAACGGTACTTTGGGATGGTTGTTGCGATTCCCCTGAACAGTGCAACAAGATTAGCCCTGGGTGTAACATATATAAATTTGGTTGTTAAGGATTACTTCAAAGTTAAGTTTGTGTTGTGGTACAGTGGTGCGCATCTTAGCAACGTGGAGGATAGGGGCTTGTACATTTTTGAAAAATATAATTTTGGAAGGCATTTTCCATGTAGTAGTTTAAATATTTGACAGTCTCTCGATTATTTTATAATTGTATAGGTTCAACTGCTTTACAATTAAATTACCCACAATGCAATCAGTCATCGAAATTCAAAAACTATATTGTGAAATTTTCATTATAATTTTAAAAATTATTGCTGCAAAAAAAAAACATGATTGAAAACAAAATTACAAAAAAATGGTTGAATATATGTGGTAACTAAACCATTTACCTACCTAGGCATGTTGCTTAGCAACTGATGAACTGCGTCCCATGGTGCATGTGTGTTGTTCAGAACTAATCTTTTGATGGTTGCTAAGGAAACAGAGTCCAGAAGATCAGAAGGAATGGAATGTGTTAGAGGATTGGAACTGAGTTCAGGAATTCGAGATCGGGGAGTTGAGATATGATGGAAAA